TTTTTTTTTTTTTTTTTTTGTGTGTAATTTTCATATGGTAATGTTAGACTAATTTTTTTATGTATTGGATAGATAATGAACCTTATTAAGTGTTAATTTTAATTCAAAACTTGTTAATTTAATTATTTCTTGTGTTCTTGATTACTTATGCATTTAAATTGTGTTCTTTGAATGACAAGCCATCATTTAGATAACCTGTTGCCTATTTAACATACAGACAATATGTATTAGGAATAGTATTTATAACAGGTGCAATCGCGTGAAATAATCATGTTATTAAATACATGTTTTTCATATGAATTTGAATTAGGAATATGATCGGATAATGTTAAACATATGCTTGATAATTTTTTGGAAGAAAATATTAAATAAATTTGGATTATTAATTGTCATTAACATAAAAAAAAAAAACTACTTTACATGGGTGGAGAAATGGAAATAAAATTAATAGGAGAATTCAGAAATCCAATACATTAATCATATATTTGATAAAAATATATTTTTATTGCTTTCGTAGTTAAAAGTAGTCGAAAAATCAATCAATCTCATTTGTGTTACTATTAATCAAATTTAGTAATAACTAGTACACTAAAATTAAACATTATTTCTCATGGGACGATAATTCACAGTACGCTTTATTATTATTTGTCAACGATTCCGCACGTTTGTGGGGTTTCAACCGAACATATATCAATGTAAGTGCTATACACGAATCTTTCAGCATGACCTATTTAATTAGAGTCAACTTGAATATACCTATAATAAAAATTTAGGATAAAAAAAACTTGTTCTGTAGTTAGAACTTAGAATTGAAAGGAAAAACTCAAGTTAGGACCCTAAGTGAAATTTAGTCCGTGTTTGATGTTTATTAAAAAGTTTTTTTTTTTTTTTAAATGAGTTTTGAAATAGTGATTTTTTTGGAGGGTGTGTGATTAAAAAGTAGGAAAAATTTTAAATTTACGTGTAAAATATTTTTAGAATAATTCTACTGTACATCAAAAAATATACATAGGGGTGTACCCCCTGGCATGGGGGGTGGGGCCCGCTTGAATAAAATATTTGGTGATGTACCACTACCAAAATCAAATATTTTATTATAAGAATGTGCTATTGAAAATGAATTAAAAAAAAAGTTTTGAATAATGGTAGACAAAGATTACTTATAATTAATTATCTACTTATAATGCATATTACTGATTTTTTAGGTCGTCTACCAAACCAACTACCCATGTGAACGACACGAATTTCAACTCACGTAACGGACCCACAAAACACGAATCATCAATCAGTTTCCAGACGTATGATTATTGGAAACCCATCTTATCACCGTCAATTCACTGTCATCAACGACATGCGCGGTGGGACCCATGACCACTTGATTACAATTCTTACACCTGTTCACCATTTTATCTGGCCGCCTCGTAATCTCATGGAATTTAAAGTTGGAGTACAGCTTGCGATGCACAATGTACAATAGCCTTATCGTTGACATGTAGGGCTTGTTTGGGAAATGTTAATTGGACATGATAAAGGGAAATTGTTGTTCGCACTCGGAATAACTTGGGGAAAAGTAGGTGAGTTTGTATATATAAGATCTTACCGATGACTCCTCGATATATTGTTAGACCTCAACTTCGATGAAATGAGCTAGTGACGAGATGAGTTGTCGATCACCCCTTCATGGGTGTTGCTGAACTCACTAAACAAGTCTTGTTTTGTAGGTAGAATATATATCATCACTATAAAATGTTTTGAACGAATTTTAGGGCTTATCTGTCCCAGATTTTAATACCGTTATTTGACAGCATGTGGGTCCATTTGTGAGAGAAAAAGTCAACAATGTCTGCTGCCTGAGATTGCAACGGTCCAATTTGCAATTAAAATCTGCCAAAAAATCTCAACCAGACATGAGCTTAATATCAGCAAATTTAAACCTATATTTATTAAAATGCTCGACAAAAGTTGTCAAAATATGCAATGCAATCATATTTTATGCCCTGTTCCGATTCAACCAAAAGTTAGATTAAAATTTAAATTAAAGTCAACAAATGAATTACACATTTCACTCGATCCACAGTTTTTCTACGACATATTTCATTAATATGTATCAAAACTACTAAAACTTTGAATTTTATCCAAATCAAACAAGGGTTTAGTATGTAGTATTAGACAATTGTATAATAGACAATATTTGAACATTTTCTCTTTCTCGATAATATCTATCATGAGTAATGCTATTTAGCTCTATTGGGGTTACAACCTCAATTTATGTGGCGTTAATGTGTCATTAAATGATATGTGAAATTAAATAAGTCATTTAATTTCACATTTTATTTAACATATCATTTAGAGTCACATAGACTAGAGTTACAATTTCAATAAAACTACATAGCATTATTCATAAAGTGTAAGCTAATTCAACAAACATAAAGTCAGTCAAACTTACTTTAGTATTACGTATATTCTGAAATACTAATAATTCAAGTTTTACTAATTTCTACACTGAATAAATTGGTAGACCGTCAAAGGTAACAACGCCTATTTTACGGTCACGTTAGCGATCTAAACCTCTCCAAACAAGCCTTTAATATTGATAGTGAGTCTTCTAGAGAAGTCAACCCGGGCGCAGGTTCGGTCAATTCCCAAGCCTCAAATTCCATGACCGCACCTTTCTAGGCTCGGATCTTCCTGCCTATAAATTGCTTTTGCGTGTTCATAACCGCGTCATTGCTCTTTACGTGTAGACTCGGGGTTCGACTGCGGAAAGAATCAAAATATTTTCCAGTAAGGTTTTATTTCGTGGACTCAGCACTTTGATGAATTCGTGTTTTCTATTTTCTATTTCTTGATTGTTAATTTCATTTATTGATTTTGTGAATTGTGAAAATTTTGTTGACGCTGAAATTTTAATTTGAGTGAGAAATTAGAATTTTTATTTGAGCTTTGAATGAATTGAATTGGTTGCTTAGTTTTCTTTGATTCAAATCCAGCTTTGAGGCTTCGTCTTAAACCATGAACTTGTTAACAAAAGCACTACGAGCAGTTTTACTTTAATTTACCTTAACGGATTGATCATTTGAGGACTTTCATTTTAGTTGAATAGATTAAGAGAATACTTGTTGCGATTGAATTATATAAATTTTGGGAGTTCAGATAGCTAAATTTTGCCGGTCTTCAGTAAATTGTTCTTAGGAGTTGATTTTAAAAATTTATTAATATTTGATTTTTTATCTTTCTAAATTTGAATTTTATGTAGGATTACAGGATGAGAAAAGTAAGGGAAAATTGATTTTTTGTTTTGAATTTAATTTTAACTTTAGGTAACAGAACAAGAAGGGAGGATTAATTTTCCTGTGTTATTTTGATCTGAAGAACAGACAATATGGCTTTAGTATCTGGAAGAAGATCAACACTTAATCCCAACGCGCCTCTTTTCATCCCGGCATCAGTACGCCAAGTAGAGGACTTCTCGCCTGAATGGTGGAATCTAGTGACGACCTCGACTTGGTTTCGCGATTATTGGCTCAGCGAGCACGGGGAAGAGGATATACTTGGCGTGAAGTATGATGGTTTTGATGACAATGATGTAGCTAAATTGCTGCCTGATAATATTGACCTTGTGGTGGATGATGATACCTTGAATATGGAAGCCCAATTCGAGGAATTTCTTCAATCATCTGAGCCCGAATATGGAAGCAAGGCTATCAAGGGAATATCTGAGAATGGTATGCTCCTTCTTTTTTTTTTTTTTCTGATTTTGATTGATAATGGATTCAATAATGCTATTTTATCGACTGCAGTAGTGAATCTATGTGACATGATTTTAATGATTTAAAAAATGATTTAACTTTTTTAAATGATATGTCACGTACAATGCCAACTTATGATGATTACTCAATACTTGTTAAACTTGAACAATGCTAGAGTTACATCAATTTTGACAGCCGTATCACATACATTTGGTGGGGCCCCACCCATGGGAGAGGATTGTCAAAATTGCTGTACAATTTTGACTGTACATTAAGCATTTTTGGTTAAATTTGTATTGGTCATCAGGCTTGAATAGGAATACTGAGGCGCTGATCAAGAATCTGGGTGTGTCAGAATGGAGAAGTTCCGAGTTCTTGGGGGAGCCGGCCAAGCATGTTAGCCCAAAATCTGTTCCCGGCTTCATCCAGCAGCCTCGCTGAAGTGTAGATCGTTTGGGTCTTGGTTTGCAGTTCGGCCAAGAAATGGCAGTTGTTTTCTTGTAGCTTTATGTATAGAGCAACGTTCTTCTTAGTTATATTCTGAAGACACTAGTTTAGTTTAGCAATGAGATGATGTAAAATAGTCATGTTGTAGCACAAATGGAGAAAAATGACAAAAAATAAGTATTACTCAAATAAATTTCTCCCATCTTTGAAGTGATCACTTATCGTGACCAATAGCAGCAACAACGAACTAAACTTGTTCTCCATGAATTTTGAGACGGTTAAATTAAGCCCATGTTTGGGCTCCATTTGCATAAAAATTCATTTTTTTCAACACTCATGTGCAACCACACTTTTATCTAATAATTTTACACGTAAGTCGAAAAATTTTCCTTATTTTTCAACTACACGTTTTCCAATTTTTTACTATTCCAAAATGCATTTTTTTGAAAAGATGGAGCCCGAACAAGGGCCAATTGTTTTCAGTCATTGTGAGTCATTCTCGTAACGTGATCTATAGCATGCAACTTATACGGGTTGCTTTGAACAAACTTAAATCTACAAGATACAGAAATTTGATAAAAACTAACAAATCCCAGAAATTGTCAGTCGTAAAAGGGTGATCTCTCCAAAGCTTACTCCCAAGGGAAGGAAGTGACAAGTGTACTCTATTAACTACTTGACTTCTACAAAGAAGTGAGTCTACTCAGCTGCTATTGCCTTTGTTGAACAGTTGAACTTATGGGAACACAATTCGATTTCGGGAATATTATTTTAATCCATGTAACGAACTAAATTCAAAACAAGCAGTATGGAGAGAGATTTGCTTTTATTTTCTTGCACAGTTAATCATATATCTTTGTACATTGGAATAATTTCAGGTGATTCACTTTGATACATTGGAATAAAGTCATTATGAGTTGCTAACCGTACGTGCATGATGGAGGAGTAACAAAACAGGCAGAATTTAATTTGACATCCAACCATAGTGCAGAGTCGACATGTTTCGTCTTCTAGGGGACAAAACAGGTAATGGTGTGCTTGCAGATGCTTGAGCTTCAAGAATCTGAAGCTGCAGAAGCAAGGCAAATCTGAATAAGTAGCAAATGCTCAAAGTTGGATTGTGGTTAGTATATCAGCTTCTGCTCAACTAGGTACTTCTGAAAGTACAGCATCGCTTTCTTCTTGAGACTCTCTCTTGGATTGAGCTTCGAGTTTAGTCTGGTTCCCAATTGCATCAGATATAGCCTTTGGCAGCAAAAATCCGGGTCGCTCAAGAATTCGTGCCCGATCAATTACCAAAGGCTCCCGCAAAGTGATCTGGATACCATCATATGTCCAAAGAGTCAAGTTTGCTTCACCTTTTAAACCCAAAGAGAACCAACCTAAGCCAGCCACTGCAACGTCAACACTGTTCACATCCCAGCTTGTTCCAGATGCTTTGACTTCTCTCTTTTCCCACGTACCCAATTCAGAGACTCGGCTTACACTAACAGGAGGCTGAAAGAATAATATAGACAAAAAAAAAAACTAACAGAAATGATACTCCGGAATTTGGAATTTTTGTCTTGAATTTCATACGCATGAAAAGCCATTTATGTAGAAAATTGAAAGACCAAAATCTCGAAAATTCCTTGAATTGCATATATCATCTTATTACGTGTGTTTAAAAGACCAGAAGACAAGTTCTACTTCCCAGAGCACAGGACTCCAAATAAGAAATTTTAAAACTTATTTTACTAGCAATCTGGACTGACACTCTTGGAAAAGATAAAAGCACAATTTGAACTAAGACGAGGCTCATCAACAATGAATATTACCGAAGTTTAACTACTGAGTAGGTCAAAACAGCCTCAACTGTTCAAAGAAGACAAGACAAATTTATGAACAGCATACAATCCTAAAACGTCTAACTTTTTCCATTAATCAACAAGGACACTTTTCTTTTAACAAAGATGTGCTCTTAATTGAGTGAATTTTGCAATTTACATATCTACTTTTAAAATCTTATTTAATCCTGTCTTTATTGTTTCTTCCACTTCAGTCACAAGTGATGGTCTGGAAAAAATGAAAATAGTATATGCAAAAGGATTCTGCGAATGGAGATACCACCCAATACAACATATTGGGAGCAAACATAGCCATCCTAAAACATATAAAATACATATAATTAAATATGTGATATTCCAATTGAATGATGGATGCTATCTCATTTAAGATTAAGGGTCAACAGCATCAGTTGTGAAATTATTAAAAAAATCACGGTCAAACTCGTACACATGAACTTCATACATCATAAATATTCTTAAATATGTCATATTCCAAGAGGATGATGAATATTATTCCATTTAAGATAATGGGTCACTGCATCAATTGCAAAAAAATAAAAAATCATGGAATAATTCATCCAAATGAACCTTACACGTCAAATATAAATCAATGCAGAAAAATGTTAAGAAAAAAGAAAAAAAGAAAAGGAAAAGCTAATCTGTATGCTGTTCAGTTACCAGCTGAAAACGCGCTGAACCTTTTTATTTTTAAAGAGTTAAATTGCATACACTCAATGTTGCTAAGAGGTTTTCGTTTGTGGTCAGAAGCATTACCTGCAACCTAATGCCAGCATGCTTGCTCTTGATCTCATCAGCATTTTCAATCTTTCCTAGATGAAGTGAGACATTTGGTGACGTCCAAACCGTGACATATATTGTTTCCACAGAAGCCTCATTAAGATCCAGTCTGGCTAAGGCACCAACATGTACAGCTTGACCTACCTGCAGAATATTAGAATTCTGTATTAGGAGCATGTTTGCTAAGCTTAAGAAAAATAGTAGGAAAGCAAGCAAAGACCTTTTAAAAATGAAGTTTTTGAACTAACAAACCCCCACCCCCACCCAATCTCCAAATTAGAAAAAAGTAACTTCTAAAACAGCTCAAACATGTTTGAGGAAAAAAGTTACTCAAAAACAGCTTTTACGTATTTTTAAGCTTACCAACTATGATCAGCAGGCTTTATCCAAGCAAGTTTGACGATACATGGATGGTGTTTATTTAAAAACTGAGGTGCTAGAAAATGAGAGGAAAAAAGAGAAAATGTCATCTTATAATGACAATAGATATAGCATTTATGCACAGGTGACATATCAACTACATAATTTTTTTTTGTAAATAGCTGTCTTAACAATGAATTAATTCATATAGCAATCCTGATTAAAAAAGGAAGTATGCTCAGAATTGCAAAAATACATAATCTTGACATCATTTAAACCAGCTTCTCTGACTCTGGCTATTTGTTCATTTATGATTTATCCTTTGCCATAACCAGCTATTACTCATTAGCAAGTCATCTTAAAGGAAAAATAACAGTTCATACGAATCAATAATTTGAATATTCAGGCAGATCGTTCTCTATCAGAATTTTAATTACCATAATCTGTAGGATGTCATTAGGCTTAAAGCACAAGTAAATAATAACTTACCTTTATCCTAAAAGATCGAGGTTGTAGCTCTTTTCGTATCTCAACCATTTTCTGCTCCTCCCTGTTCAATCTCATGGACATTAAATACGGATGTAGGAGGCCTGGAGTGTCATACATTTTTGCCTTAGCAGACAATATTCCTCCAATTCTCAAGATACCGAGTGTTGTTCCAGGAATGGCGGCTTCTGTGAGTTTTGTGACCTTTACTCCTTCTTTCTTGGCGAATGCATTGATTAGTGTCGACTTTCCTGCATTTTGAGCCCCGATAACCCAAACATTTCCTCTAGGCCCAGCCATATCCTTGATGAATGCAAACAAGTTCTTTACACCCAAATCCTTACGAGCACTAACCATATAAACCCCACTTAGCTTAGGTGCTCCATTTGCCTTGGCACGGTGCCTAACCCATCTATCTAACCTTGTGGGCGAAATTTGAGAAGGAAGAAGATCAACCTTTGTAGCCACCAACACAAGCCTTGGCAACTTTTTACTAAGCTTTAAACCATCTTTCCTTCCTTCCAACACTTTGAACAAGGACTTGGCTGCACGTTTTGGAAATGAACCGTCAAAATCAACACAATCAACCACCATAACTACTACTGTAGCATCTGCATTCCCTGTGGGCTTCATCAACCTCGTACTAATCAAACGATCAAAATCAAAATCCGGTATCAAATTTTCAGCAGCCTGGTTTTTCACCTGGCCATAATTTCTCAGAGAATGACACCGTGCACAAACTGTCACCTCTTCGTTCTCTTTTCGAGCCTCCCTAGCCATTCTTTTTCTCTCCGCCTTAGACACCCTCTTCTTTTTCGCCTTCTCTAGCGTCTCCTCTGTAATGTTACCAAACCCAACTCCAGCCGGAGCAAAACCATCCAACTCCTTCAACAAATCATCATCTTCATCTTCCAACTCAGATTCCCATTCTTCCGAATCCCAATTAATCCCATCCTTATCATTTTCTTCCAATTTTCCCTCGATGTCATCCTCAAAGTCATCATCATCTTCTTCAAACTCATTAAATTCCTCATTCAAAAAGTCATCCGCATATTCCCCATCATCCCCCATATTTGTTACTTCCATTTTCTTCTTCTTGTAATACCCAGGGAGATTCTGGTCTTTATCTTGCATGAACACTCCACAACCAGGGCATATAGGTCCATAATTCTCATCCTCATCTCTTCCTTCACTCAAAATCAAACTTTTAACAGTTTTTCTTGAAACGTTTCCATTCTTTTTCTCAGCTTTCTGAACAGTTGCTTCACTACCTTTTACACTTAAAGCAATGCACAAACCTTTCTTGTTATACCCGTCCTTCTTCTTTCCTACATTCAGCCCTGCAAATGATTGATTTGGCAAGTGGGTTTCACACAAAGTGCAAGAAAATAATAGAAATTAGAGAGAGAAAGAAGATTTACCGGTACCAAGCTGAAATCTTGATAAACAGTTTGCTTCAATATTGCTGTTCAAAGAAAAATTGATTTTCAGTTCAACAGTCGTTGATGATAGAGAGGCTGTTGACAGCAAAACCGCCATTTCCCCTCCGCCTTTTTCTTCTGCTAAAACCCTGTCCTGTTTGGCTTGCCCCCAATATCCCGTTACAATTTTATCACAAATTTTCCGAAATATTTAAATGGAGGTCACTGAATTTATAGGTTTGTTTTATATAAGTTACTAAACTTTAGAGCTTGTTTGTCTCCTATTATTGGGAGAAAATTAGTGTAATGAATGGTATTTTTTAGAGAATGTGTGGTTAAAAATTAAAGTAATTTTATTGGTTTGTGTGTAGAATATTTTATTGGGTGAATGTGTGGTGGAGAATCTTACTGTAGCAAACAATTTTTTGGATTAATGGTAAACAAACATGTGCTTAATTTATTTGAATTAGTAATCCAACTTATGTTTTTTTTACTAGGTTTAACCTTTTTCATCATCTCCATGATCAAATCTAATGACTCGTCCAACATGTGAAACGTAAGGACCATGTTTGGTACGGATTAAAATCAGATTTTTAGTAGATTTTGATAAAAGTTGATGAAATGTGTGGTTGAAAAGTTGCAGGTCTCATAAAATGTGTGGTTTAAATTAATTGTTGATTTTGACTTAGATTAAAATTTGAATTTTAAACGATACCAAATAGGGGTTAGATTAGTGGCCGTCAACTTAAAAAACTCGTATTTTTCAACTGATAAAGAATATTAGTTCTGATCATTATGGCTATGAATATTAATAACCAAAACTATTGTTTCAATAATTAGCAACGAGCTCTCATTAATTTGTTTAAAGATTTCAAGCTCGAGAAATATGAGTCAAGTAAGAACTAGCTCTTTTATGGTGAACCCTAGCACTCTTTCTCTTTCGGTCGAATAGTTGCTAATCATTATTTTGGGTGAATTCTTTTCTTATTACTATTTTATATTTAGCCTCTTTTGATTTAGATGTTTTTGACTTAGCCTCTATTTGGTAGAGATTAAAATCAAATTTTTAGCAAATTTTGATAAAAGTTGATGAAATGTGTGGTTGAAAAGCTGTGAGTCTCATAAAATGTACGGTTAAAATTAATTGTTGATTTTAACTTAAAATTTTAATTGAATTTTAATCAAACCAAACAAGGGCTTATTTTTCTTCGAACTCAAATGCCCACGTACTCGTATTCTTCTCATCTTCTGTACAACTGCTAAAACATTTGGTCGTGCTATGTCTAGCTTGTTTCAGAGTGTGCTAGCACATAGCACAATCAAATGGAAGTATGGATGGGCTCGTAAAGCAAGAGTTATGCCCCTCCCCTCCCTCAACAGCTCGCCCTCTTGAAGACCATACAGAAACTGTTGGGTAGGGCAAAATCGATTGACACTCATTCGATTGGGCCTTTTCTCTTCTCTCTTGATAGGTGGTTGAGCAACTAGAGTGAATAGATCCTACTATTAAAAATGCTTATATATTTATTTTCAAAGATTATTAAAGGAAGTAATATATTTTTCATTATAATTCCTCCACAGTTAAAATTTTGATTTTAATTTAACTTAAAGTAAAAAATTAATTTTATATGCATATTTTATGAGATCTACAATTTTTTAATCATATACTTCATCAACTTTTACTAAAAACTATTAAAAATTTAATTTTTAGCTACACCAAACATGGTGCCTATGTACAACAATTCTTTCACGAGGTATAACATGGAAAACGATTCCCTTGCCATGTCATCTCCCGGGTCTCATCCTTAGTATTTACAACAAGCACTTTCCATAATCTAGAGGTAGAAAAAAGACCCACTGGAGGTTGCGAACACGAATCCGCTCGAATGGACTCTCCACTCCGGGCGCCGAAAATTTCCAGACCTCCTATTGTCGCTCGATCCCAAATAGCTGTTCTGAATATAATTTAATTAATCGAACTTACATGACTGCCACGGAATCTGCTAAGGCCAGATCAAGATCAGTGAGCACATCAAAGCAACGGCTAAGATTGTACGATATGCTCAGGTCAACGTTTTCCATACAAACTTAGGCTTTCTTCATGGAGCTCGTATAATGGTGAAACGATGAACATTAATTAAGAGTGCAGTATTTCTCAGTAGTTACTTGCCAAAATGAGATCCTTGTTAAAATTGCTTGACTTGCTCGTGTTACCTCATGTACAAGTGTGCATATACAGAAAGTCTTCCACAATTTCACGTTTTTGCGTGTAAGCTCCAGAGGGTGTTGTGTGTGTTCGTTTTCTTTTTTTGGGAGATACTCTTTCCCGTTGTTGTCTTGGAAGAAATTTTGGTCGGGAAAATTACTTCTTACTGATGCCGGTTCATCTCTCTTTCTGTCTTTACCATACTTCTTGTACTTCTTTATCGTTTATAGTGCATATTTGGTACACAAGAATGTGAATGAAAAGTATAATAAAATAATATTTTGACTTATTTGTTTGTTTGACGTCGAGTTCTATCCATTCCGTTGAATGAAATCATCCATATCAAGCGTCAAAATTAATGGAAAACTCATTTCTGTAACTTTCTTGTCACGTCAATTGGCCATCTTTGTGCATGACTTGCTAAAGAAAAATTACAGAAAATGGAAAAGTAGTCCACTGTTTGTATTGCCATTCAGAAATAACAGTACAGTAGTAGTCTTTTATTTAATTGATACACTCGTAGTATGTTTGATACACGGTACTCGACAAGACTGGAAAGTAAACTGTCGAATACTATATAATTCATCTTATAAATGAGCCATTAAAATCTATAACTAGTTAAAGCTGATTGGGTACTTGGCTTGTTTGTTTGGTAGAAAAAGTCCCCAATGCTTCTCATATTCAGGGCTTTTCTGATCTTCATCAAACATAGCAAAAATGTAAGTTTCTATATTCTTTCCAGGCCTTTTCGGGCTCCCGTCCTTTACACGCTGCAGCAAATTCGTATTGTAAGTCCTTGCATTATCAATCGACGTTGCATCTCCTCCATCCGATGGCCAACCACTCTCTGAAACAACGATTTCAAGAGATGAGCCACCAGCCTTTTCAAGTGCTGCATACGTGGCATCTAAAATGGCATAAAAAAGATTCTGATACTGCGTTCCATCAGGCATTACAACTCCAGACGACTTGAAAAGAGCATAATCGAGGTCAATATTTTTATCATACATGTGTGCAAAATATGGGTATATGTTTACGAGTAAAGGGGCCCCATTTTTCGCCAAGAAGTCGATGATTGGATCAAGAAATGATCGAACGTCGGACTTAAATTCACCGTCCGATGGTGGATAAGCATTTCCCAGTACTCCTGTTTCAATAGAAGTGGAAACCTTAATCTGGTTCCCAAGTCCAGCTGCAGAAATTGCATTTTGTACATTTTGTAAGGCAGGAAGAACAAATGGGACAAACTGTGCTGTGCCATCTGGTCCAGTTTTTAACGGACTGACTTCATTTCCAACTGCAATGTATCTAAACCTAACATTAGGATAGTTTATAACATTGTTTTTGATCCAAGAATTTGCATTTTCTTGATTTGAAGCAAGATTCTGAAGGTCAGTGTTTGGGACACCTAGCATGAGCTCAATGTTGGAGTCTATTAGAGCATCAAGAGTACGCTGGTTTGGGTCATAGATTCGCATTCTTTGGATGTTGTTCTCGTTGTATAGGGAGATAACTTCGGATGCTGGTGGCAACGCGCTCCCGAGACCTCCATAACAGACTCCTGTCTGAGCCACTGTATCATGAAATGTCATGGATTAAGCCTAATCCCTACTTGCGAAAGCGATAATAAACAAAAATAAATCAGAAAACATGACAAACACACAATTTTATAGATAAAATAAGTGTACGGCATGATTAGGCTCCACTCGGTCCCACTCGATTCCCGAAAATATGTTTGCTATTCCAAAAATGATTGCATAATGCTCATACAAAGTCTCAATGACTTCGAATAGGCACGCAAATAATCTGCAGGCATACTGTTAGCCAACATGCTATTGTAGACTTGTAGTTACACAGTAATGGCTCGTTTTGTAGGGGAAATGAAAGTATTATTGAAGAAAAATAAGCTAAAAATCATTTCTTTGATATCGTTTTATCATGCTTAGTATTGTAACGATACATGCTTTAAGAGGGAAAGAGAAAAGGACCTGTGTAATCCATGGTAGCCATTAACTGCAGCCCAACTAGAAAAATTTCAATAACAAAGTGAAGTTTCATACCAGCCATGGAGACAGGAAAATAAGAATATAAGCTATAATAATATATAAGAATAAGAATAAGCTATAAAACTTCTCCTTTTATAGAGGCCTGAAGAGTGTAGAATGGGTTATAATTGGAAATGTAGTCAATCTTCCACAGGCAATCACTGCGGGGAACTAGGGTAAGCAAACAAATTACATTATGTGCATGGAATTATAAATCGGTGCATCTCGGCCTACTATGGTGCAGTGGTGGTTAAGAATGTAGTTGATTTAGATGGTTCAGTACATCTAACAATAAGGGTCCGTTTGATTGCAAGGGTGGAAAATGAGTGGAAAAAAAATGTTTTACAGGGAATTGATTTTCTTAGAAAATGTTTTACTGGGAATTGTAATTAATTGTGTTTGATTTGTATAATTTTCCATAGAAAATGTTGAAAATTTGGTGTCCATTTGACTTCGTTTTTTATGAAATTTGTCCATTAAAATGATAATTTTTTCTACTATTGAGTCTAAATTTGTTCACATTGTCAAAAAAAAA